TATTGAAGAATTTTGCAAACCAAAAATAATATCCTCAGAATGCAAAGAAAAATAGCTGAAAGTAAAAGAAATCAATATAAACAGTATTTTATTCGTTTTCTGTCCGATAATGGACAAAATTAATACTCCAAATGCATGCCAAGGCTTAAAGCAGCTACAACGCTACACATGTAAGTAAAAATAATTAAGTATCTGAACGAAGAATTCTAGTCTCTTTCCAAATTTGATTGTCCTGACTAATCACCTGTTAGGCCTGATTAATTTTAGATTGTTTTAAAGTATTGCAATTGTGATGTATTTTAATGTGTGATATGATGAGGCTGTTGACGAACTGTGGTTGTTTTTTAAATTAATAATTTTTTTTTAACTATCTGTTATTTTAGAAAAACTGATAATGGTGGAAAACACCTAAACGTATTTTAATTGATAAATAGAGACAATAAATGACAGAAACCCAGGAATAAATTTTGATTTGTTACTAACGCAACCTGTTTCCCCAAAATCGACTATTTTTACAACTACGTAATTACTCACCATCCGGTGTGTTAACGGTCGCCTGTTTGTGATGCCTCAGTTTTCCAGTAGTCGAATTCCAAAGAGTGGTTGGTATTAAATCAGTTTTATCCCGGTCATACTCGAACTTGTTAATCAGCCCGATATTCCCGTTCGGAGACCCAGTATGGTTCATTGGAGAGAGTCCTGCTAGATAATTTCCCGATCCTCCTCCCGTGCTCGAAGGCGGCTCGTCCTGTTCCATTTTGATTCCTACCGGTTCCATTTTTATTCGCAAATCTGCAATCAAACACCCCATTCGTTAGCGGGTGTTGCTGGATTGGAACTGTTAGCAGGCGACTTACCTTCGGGACATCCTGGATCTCGGCAGCGGTCAGCATTGTTAATTTCCGGGCAAATGAGGGCGGTAGCTCGATCAGTAGCGTCGTAGTTCACATCGGGTGAGGCGTCAGCTTCGTTGTGAGGAGGAGCGGAACAAGACGAACTTGAGGATGGTCTATAGGCTAGAGATAGGGGTGTTGGGGAAACGGCTTTTTTGCTTCCGTCGCGTAGAACTGTTGTACGGTTCTCTTGCACTAACTCATTAGGGGATCTGGAACAAAAAATGTATATCAATCGTATTTTTTGCACTCATCGGCACTCAACAACGTGCTATAATAATAATGTCCAATTCAACAACGGTAAATCTATTGAAATCACTAGAAACAAACGCAAACTAAAAGGAAATTTTTCAATTGGCAGTTTCAAATAATGACGTCGTCACTACCAAAAAGATTGGGACATACCATTCTTATGTAAGTAAGTACCTAAACGATATTATTCGTATTGATAAATCGGGTTTATCTTTTCAGTTATCAAGTGGAAATTAGCGGTTTTCCTTGTCGCTTTCAGATTCCTAACGTTCCAGCTTGTGCAAACATTTTAGGAAACTTATGCAGCACATTCAAGTTTAAAAAAATGACCTAAATGCGCCGTTTCACAAAAATCTTGCTATGCCATCTTCACAAAGTGTTTGATAATTAACCCGCAAAATATTATCGACCAAGTTGCTTCCGAAAAATTAGTTTTGCTTTCGAAAACGCACGTTTCCTGCACTCACTGGACCAGTGATTTGCAAGCGAGCATTTCAGACAATTGAAAATCCAGCAATAAAACTATTATTCTCCATTTTTCTATTTACTGTCTGATAAGAACGAAGATAAGGCCAGGTTACAGATCATCGCCAAAAATAAAAAAATGCACAATGAATGCGTAGATGCCCAGATTAAAGATGGAATTTTTAAAGTAAAAACTCCTTATGTAACTTAAAAAAATGTTTTCATTCATGCTTTAATTTTGGCCGGCAATTCTCCAAAAAAAAAAATAATCAGTCAATAAGGACTATTGAACGATTGATAGATTGTTAGAAAAAAAAATGTAAATTTACCTGGGATGTTTCATTTCATATTGAGGAGTACTCGATGAGGACAGACGTTCGTAGGGCCGATATTGGTGCTGCATGTAGGGTGACATTTTTGGGGAATAGCTGGGGGACGGGCTCGATTGCTGATGATTTGGTTGATTGTTCTCAGTGTCTTCTTTCAATATCTGCAAAAAATGAGACGCATGTTGAGTAATGCCATCAACTCTTTCAACCCCAATCACATCAATTAATGTCACAAAAAGCGCTAGGTGGATCGTAAAATGTAAAGTTCTAGCAAATTGTCAAAAACAAGAAAATTGAAGACGGACAGTATAGTAGAGCAAATGAATCATCCGAAGGGCCAACAAGCAAGTGATTATATCATTATGTGAGTTCTGTAGCTCGGTGCGTTTTTAATGTGACCTTAATACCGCATAGGTTTTTTAGTAAAGCTGAACATTTAGTTCAGTTAATAATAATGGGCAACGGACAAAAAACGTCTGGATATTCATTCTGCGTTGCAGTGTAGTGTGTAATTTTTGGAGATTAATGGGTAAAAAATGGAGGATGGGGCGCCAGCTTGCAGAAAGCTGGTAAGGACATTTCCGCTGGTGGACAGCGCGTTAAGAATATAATAAACCACTGAGATTTCTCGCTGTTTTTCTATACGTGTAGCAAAATTTAAACAAATTAAGTTAGGAATTTTCAGAGGCTGGAATCCGTCCGATTATTTTAGTTTAATTCAATGCCTTCTGTGTAGGCTGAAAGTGAAATTGGTCGAAGACTTTGACAATTGAAAATTCAGTTGGCTTTCACGCCGAGCGGCGTGAGTGTGATTCGAATCACAGTCTTGCAAAAAACCTTTCAAATTAAGACATTTTACTAAGTTTTCGTAATTTAAGTTTGATGTAGCGTGATAGATTAAGCTCAATTTTAAACCCTTAGTTATATCTTAAAGAAGCAAGCCCTACACGACTGCAAATTTGCTACATTTTTGCCACTCACTATGCAGTTTTATAAATTTCAAAGACCGTAAAACCTCATAAGCACATCAGATGGTTTTGGTTCAGTGCTTTTTCAAAGACTCAAGCCAGAACAAATTAATTTGCACAGTTGCAAAATAGATTAATTCACCTCGTCTATTCAAAATTCGTTGGTTGTCCATGCAAACGTAAGTCAAAGAAAACGCACAAACGTACAAGGTCTCCAAGCCAGACAATCAATGACAAAAACGTGCTTTTTTGTCTAAAATTTTATTCAAATCAATTGAAACTGGTTCTTATCAGAGTTTTAGAGGTCGTGTGTCGAAGATAATGCTCGTGTGCGTACTGTACCGTGGAGTTTTTTTGTGTTCAAATTGGCATAATGTACTAAAAGATGTAATTTAAAATATAGTACCCACTTCACACTCGTTATCGACGCGAAAATATTGAATATTTTGCGCGACAAGGAAGTAGGTCCTAATTTGGTTGCGATACGATGTTCATAGCCAAGACCGGAATAAAAACGGTTTAATTATCACCCGAACACATTTGAATTCAGCTTGCAGCCGCTGAACCTGTACGCATTTTTCAACATAGTAGTAGTAGAAGCAGAATCAATTAATACATATGCTTTGTCAAAAGCCCAATTAATGCGACATAGCAACTAGAAGTAGGCGAGTTCCACTGTAGTACATGCACGAAGAAAAATTAATTGTAGATTGCACAGTCTTCAATTAAAAATATGTATTTGAACTTTTTGTGTTTAGTCGTTGTATTCTGAAAATGCCCCTTTTCGTATTAACATCGACCAGCACAATTGTTCTGGGGCGAAACTGCACATTGTCTTCAAATCTCTTACCTTAAAGCCTTTTCTGCCGGGAGAATCAGGCGGTGGTTGGGCCGCCTCCATGTCCTGCGGCCTTGCAGGGTGACTTTGAGCAACGGCCAACTTCTCATGCTCAATGCTCAGTCCTTTGACCTGCAGACACTCAGCCGCCTTGAGGAAACTGGACAGTGCGTCCTGCGAAACGTGAACTTCGCCCTTGTACATAAATTCCAACAAGGCAGCCATGTTCGAAGACGAAGTACCATCCAGAATAACCAGCAGGTTTTGGTGCTGAGGCGCCGTCTCGAACAGGTCGGCTAAATGTTTGCTGCAGGCCGCCAGAATGAGCTTGTGTGCTTTGAATGTGACCCCTGAAACAAACAAGCCCACCTTAAGTCTATTTTCTGAGTAAAACATAATCTCAGAACAGCTATTAACAAGACTGCCGATTTTTAAATGCAAAGGCAATGTTTTCATGCAATTTAACGGAACTATAAAAAGTCGAAATTCTGTGCATAGGTGGCTCAAATAGAAACAGCTCAATTATTTGATGAAATCCACCGTGATCGTTTTCCCATATCTCGAAAGGTGAGGAGTGGAATAAAAGCTTAAGTTCAGAGAGTTTGGCCAGAATTGCCCAAATCTGTTCAACTCGAGATGAAAATGAACAACTTGGCGATTTACTTGCTTTGGAACAACATTTTTGTACCACAGATTGCGGCCAATTACGCAAACGGAAATCTGTTGTTCACCGAATAGTTCAAAAGCACAAATATCATCCCTAGAAAACATGCAAAATAGATGAAAACTAGATAATAATTTGATGACAATTCCTCCAACTTGAATCAATTCTGGAATTGGTGGCTTTATAATCGATTAGAGCCAAGAACTGATTTTCCAGAAAGATGCTGATGAAACCTTTCCCAATCTATGGATAGGAAGGAAAGAACCTATTGAATGACCTCCTACATTGCCAGATCTAACTCCAATGGATTTTTTGTGTGCACTTACCTCAAATCGAAAGTATTTATTGACAGGCCAAAATCTGCAGGAGTTGAAAAAAGTACGTGCCATAATTCCGCAAATGGTTTAAAACGTGCAAGAGGCTGAAAATGGCACACATTTTTTGAACAATTAAAAATTGTTTTTCCAAAAATAAATTGATGGTCGTCACTTGTTTTTGAAACTCATTGTATAAATAAATTTTATATAAAAAAATTTAATTTACAAATAAAAAATTGTGGAGTCCGTGGGCATTTTTGCAAAAAAACAATTTACTGAACTTTAAATTCTAGGACGTACTGTATACACATTTTGGCTGACAAAGCCTGAACCATTCCACAACCGCACCATGTTTGATATTTTCAAATTTAGTGCTTTATCAAAGAAAATTGGATGCATTTTTGCATTTATCGAAGTAAATGGCCTAAGAAGACGAATTTTAGAAATTACCTAGTGTTATTGAACGTAGAAAACGGCGAAAATATACCACAGAAAAACATGAAATGACTAACATAATTGCAATGGCAACAAACCATATAGAAGAAAGTTTATGGGACCTCAACTTACAACTTGCATTTCTTTTAACAGATAATTTTAGTTCTAAGTTGTTTTTTCCTTAGTTTAGTTAAATTACGCATGTAAAGTACTGAACCTCGCCTTAATACATTACGAAGCATTTCAGCTTTGTAGTATTCTGCATGATTGTCTAGATTAATTCGAATAAAGTCTTTTATTATTATAGTTATTTAACGTCGTGTTAGCAACTTTTTCCTCAAATTAACTGAACCGCATTTAACTGAATGCATTTTGTACAGTTTCTCAATACACTCAACTAAAAAAAGTGGACAAAGATTTAGTGAAGACCTTTTCATCCACATCCGACATCTAATGAATCCATTCTCCTAAACAACGGGCGCCTTGATGCTCAATGCGTTCTGCACGATTCGAACTGAACTTCCAAAAGGCCCAAAGAAGAAACGGGCGATTGCACTGATGCAATCGGCTAATAATCCGTCAACCTCGTTACTTGAAATCCGATAAAAAAACTTTCGTTTTAATAATACCGCTATAATATCCAAAACCCCGTTAGCTGGCAGCCAAGCAACATTGTGCGTTGTTGCATTTTTTGGTGAAAAAAAAGCGATTGTTCCATTAATGCCGTTAGATCAAATTTACTTGAAAATGCATGCCTCTTTTGTTCTTTATTTTTCTGTTGAACTTCATGCTTCGCTGAGGCCCGCTTGCATGCTCGGTCATTTCGTACGGTTCCAAGGAGCGGATTATTGTATTTAGCTGCTATTAACAATCTCATTATTTCACTTGGGTGTTATCATGCTTGAGAGATCGCTCTAGGATTTCCACTGTGCAGCTAATATTATAAAGTCAAATTTACATTATTAATTTGGATAATAACAGTGTCTTTTCCTCGTTGTTAAACACAATCTTTGGCTAGTACACGTGGGAAAACAAAGTCAGCTTTCGTACTTCCACTTTCAATAAAAGTGAATTTTTTAGGCACCAAAGATTAAATACTAGCAATAAGTTTTGAACAGTTAATAATAATAAACTGCCTGCCTGTATTTGCCTGAAGTCTCACGTAACAGTGCAATGATACATAATGATAATCGCGAGATAATTCCACGAGGAATTATGCAGTAATTGGCGTAACAAAAATTCCTGAGGAATTCAACGGCATATCATGTGTATTTACCAAATTAGTCAGGTTTAGTCTCATTTCACCTGAAAATTTGAGGCTTGTTCGCTTTGGGAAACCAACCTGAGAATATGGTTCACTGAATCTAGATCTGAGAAGTTCAGGCATTAAGCGGAACTGCGCTTGTGAATAAAATTTATTAACCACAAACAAATTTGGAAGAACTCGAGAAAATGAGTACGAAATCCCCAATGTTTTCTCTTCAAAATTTGTTAGAAGAGAACGAAAATCATGTTCGATAACAGATTTTTGCTGCTTCCATTCCACTTTGCATAAACATTGCGCCATTTGTCAGCATCAAACTGAAAAGCCACCGGCCAAAATTCGACACTGCATTTTACACGGACAGACATTCATTAATACTTTCAACCCGAAATTATTCAAGCTTGTTTTGTAATAATTAGAAAGTTCATTTTGCCTCGTTATCGGACCGATTTGCTTTTTTCGGTCGATGCAATTCAATCTCACCATATTAGAAGTTCTAGATTTAATTTAATAGTCTGACGATTAACTAAAAAATGTTTTTTTAATGTTGGATAAAAGATCACTTAACAGAGAAGGTTTCAGACTGTGTTGAAAAATGCAAGATTTTCCGAGAATGCTTACGAATGATCGTGCAAACAAAGTGATGAGGAACAAGCTTTTTCTGTTAGCTTGCATTTGTGCAAGATTATGTTGTAAAAAACTGTGTTTACATTCTAAGAATCCCTCTACATTTGGAGAATGAAATATTTTGTGAAGTTTTGCGAATGATCTTCAAAGCAAAACGAGAAGAGAAAGGTTCGAAGTGGCCTTTCGTTGCGGGAAAGTTAAGAATCCAAATCCCATGAAAATAAAATAATTTCCATACTTCCTGTGCTAAACATACTGTTGGGCCTATCCCCTTTCCACTGACATCATTTATTTACCTCTACAACACCTAGATGAATCTAACTCGATTGATCAAACCCTGCCTACTTTGAGCTTAAGTCGCTTCCTCAGATATCCAGTAAGGCGCAATGATTCACTTTTGTTTTCAAATAGTTGAAACCATTCCCGCTAATCCACCATAAAAAGAAAATTCCATATATTTATCACAATTCAGCTCCGAACATTGGAACAACATCGCCTCAAGTCATAAATACCAGCTAATCAGCACGATTCGTAATTCTGTTTCAGTTTCTCGGCCAGATTAAGCACAGGCAACAATGTTTGTCACAATATTTCTCTGCTCTCATCCGCTTGCAGCTTGCACTTGACCCATTGGCCCACTTTGGCCAAGGATCATGTGCATCGTATATTTTTAAAGTCTTGATAAACATCGGGCTTTGGGTTATTTAAAAACACTGCCATCAGGAAAAGTAGTACGCAATAAGGCGGCACGTGGATGCGACGATGCAACATGAATGAGCTCAGAAGATGTGCAGGAATTTCGTATTGAGTGCGCCAAACGTTTAAAGCAGGAAGCATTAGAGTTGAGGCACCGTCAGTACTTGTGGGCCTGGTTGTTGCCTAAGAGTTTTCGCTCTTGATGATCAAAAGCAAAAAAAATGCTACGAAGAAACAGATTCTGATTTTCGATTTGGGGGAAGTTTTGATAATACTTCCTCATGCTTGCTCGCAGTTTCGGAATAATTATTCAAATTTTCTGGAACAATTTTTTCGTTTGATAAAGAATTTGAGAAAGTCGGAAGAAAACTGAAACAGAGCCTTTGTAGATTATGTTTTCTGAATGAATGAAATTTTGGTTATATTCCTGTATTAATAGACTTGCTAACTTTGAAGTGGACTTGAAGAGACCTGATTGAATCATAAATGTACTGAATGTTTTAATGAAAAATACGTCAATTTTCTTGGTTTTGCAAAGACATTAATTTAAGACCAATTTTGTCTTGAAGAAAATTGAAAATAATAAAAACTTCAGTTCATAAACAGTTTCAAAAACAATATTTTTTACATTGCTGAAATAAAATATTCCGGGTTAAGTTTTGCTTGATGTAAGTGTAGAAATTTTCTTTTCCTCTATAAAATACCAATTCGCTTTTTACGAGAGCAATCGAAAAATTGGGAAAATAAATCACTTTCTTCAGTTTAGTCATTAAATTGCCTCAAGTTTTGGCGATAAGTGTGAGCGCCAAAGTGTGTTATCTTCGTGGTGGAAAACCTGCAGTTAAGCTATGAAGAAAATTTAAAAAACTGAAGAACTCGTACAAGATCTAAGCGATGGTGGTGAAAATTTGAGCAAAATAAACTGTTGTTCGCCGTTACAATATTGCTCAGACTTTATGGGGACCATTTACAGGAACGTATATGATGAACATTTGCAAAAAATGCCGCCAAAGAAAATTCGTTACTACTAATGATACTCCATTGCGCTGTTTTCAAGGGTACTTTCCTTTGATGGATGCCGCTTATAAACAAATGCACCGACGTCCTTTTTAGGAAACAAAAGACGCCGACGTCGGTTCTACGCAGCAAAACAAGCCGACTTCTACAAAGTTCGGAAAAACTCATCCAACTGCTCATCATATAGGCAGAAACACCCACTGTGCAAAATTATCAGCTTCCTCAAGCATTTTTTTCAAACAACTCAGATCTCTTTTCCGGAAATCCTAAGCATTTTACTTTTTGATCACTTTTCAAATGCAACAAAGTCCACAGTAGATGAATACCAACGTTCCCCTATTTAAACTGCAAATAATTCACACTACTGCCTTCTCGCCTGTTTCCTCTCAGGAAAAAGTGACTCCAAAGCGGTTTCAAGGTGCAACTCAATTTAAAAAAATCCGCGACAAATACCAAAAAACATTCTTCAAAAATGAATCTCGGAATAACAAACTCTTGATTTTGTTTGAATGTTAAACTATTAACGTTCACAAAATATAGATTTCCTTTTGTACTCGTTGCAGTTTGGATGGATGTCGCAACCGAAGCATCAAAAGTGAAATCAAGCGAAGGCAAATAAGAAGGCGGCACTCGAATAGGACAAACCTATGCGGTATTTCATTCAGTGAAAGTTACGAAAGAAAGCAAAATAGTGCTGCGGCTAACTATTTGCCGATCTGATAATTTTTAATGCACTTGACAACCAAATTAAACAAAATCTATGAATAATGTAAAAAATCGATAGATAGAAAAGTGTGCAATGAATATGAATAAAACCGTTTCAAACAAACATGTAAATTTCGAAATTCATTGAATACAATGGTTCAGGGGCATGAATAGCGGAATTGACTTATGGTTAATGCTTTAGCTGCATGTTTGTTTTACTTGCTCTAGTGTAGTCCAAATTTCTGATTTTGCATTATTCAGCAGTCCAAAGGCTAATGCATACTGATCTAACAAATGCCCCAAAACCAAATGTGTGTTTCCGGTGTTTAATTTTAAATCACCCGAAAATATCGGTCTCAACATTAGCAAATGTTTTTGATGAAAAACTGCAAAAATTGCAAGCGCTAGAGAATAAATTAATAGCGGTTAAATTTCCAAGCTAAAAATCCCTATTAATATCCGCTGAAATGTTTTTTGATTAGAACTAGGATTTCAGACCATGTCGTAAGAAAAACCAAATTTTGCACAAATTCATACCACGAGCTGATAAAAGTTCATATGCTTCCTATTTTGGTAAAACAAACAGCGTTTGGAACTTTCAATTGAAAATAGTTAACAATAAATGAACACATTCATTTGCAGCACAATTTGGAAATCGATTGGAGATTTATATAAAATTGACAATTATTTCCAGCAAAACTGCATTTATTTAGAGAAAAATTATTCCTCGGTTATTGTATCGAAAGAACTGGTAACATTTTCCACTACATTTGTCGTCAAAATTGATTATTTTTTAAAAATCAGTCAATATAATGCTAATTAAAAAATGCCAAATCACATTACTAATAATCATTTATGCAAATATCTGCGATAATTGCTCATATTTGCGGCATATTTCCAGCAAAAGTGTATAAACTACCTCAAAGACTTGAGTTTTTATTGCATTCTAGACCTAAAAGGAAACAATGATCAAACTCATGAATTCCGCATGTGTGTGTACTCTAAATAGGGCGGAATTTTCAGCTGAACTGATTCCCAATATTTACGATGCAATTAGTGATAATAGCGATAATGAAGTATTTTTTCGCTGACGATATGGATTTTTCCCCAGTTCCCAGAAGGTATTTTGAAATTTTCGATTCCAGCAAAAGTGACATATCATCATAAAATTTTAAAAGTCCATTGTCTTACAAGGACGTTTTTAGCACAACGTTATAAAAACATCTTTGTAAGACAATAACAGTACGAATAAACGATTCACAGACTTTTGAAATGATATTCAAAAAGGCGTTTTTCTGATTCACACACAAGTAATTTTCCAAATTTTGCACATTGCACCAAATGTTCATTTTCCAGAGCAAATGGTTATTTTTTATTGCAAGATTTGGAAGAAAATAATGCACTTACCATCGCAAAATAGTGTAACATCGGCAAGACTCTCAGACTTGAAAAGGTTGCTAAACGAAGTGGCCAAATTGGATCCGAAACTGTTCCATTTCAAGCAGAACTGTTGTTGCTGAGAGTCCATCTCAAACCCGGAATGGAAAATGTGGTGAGCTGCAACAAAAGCGATCTTAAGTAAAAAAAAAACAAATGAAAACAACAATTAAAAATTATTTTTGATAATCAAGAGAACCTTTTCTTCAACTTCAGAAGCAAAACTTCTACTTCCATGACGAAAAAAGTACTTCAAAAGCTCAAGCAACTTTGTTTCTGTTTTGCTTCTGAAGTCCACGACAGATCAATCGCCAAAATCATCCACTTCTTCAACATTTCGGTCAAGACCATCTCAACTGATTTCATTAAAGAAAAACTTACGCGACATGATTTGAGAGCAACTTGTACACCACAATACTACCAATTTCCGACTATGTTTGTCAAATTATATACCGTTCAAGCGGATTCTATACAAATAATGACGACTGAATAGTCATCGAAGTGCATATAAACATTTGCAACATTTCCCATGTGGGACGTACATTTTGATTTGTTTTTCTCCTGAAATTGCCGATTTGTTATTTTGGTGATAGCGTTCCGCTGAAATTAGCAACTCGTTGCAATTTACTGCGGAAAAAACTGACGTCAATCGACACGAGTGCATGATGTGTTTATTTTTGGGGCGAAAATGGACGAAATTATGCAAGTAAACACCATCGACTAAACTGTCACATCCGTTCATAGAACGCATTCGTTCCATGTGAACCGCTATTATTGTTCGCATTCAGATAATGATTTCACGATTTTTATGACAAACTTCGCAATCGAATAGTGAATGTCGCATACATTTTATACACAAAATTCCGTCTCTGCATTCTGGTCGGCCCTGGGCTGCATTGCCTGATTCGATTAGATCATTATTAACGCATTGCGTAAGTGAAATCCAACGCGCGCCATTGAACGATCCTAAACAAAGAAAAAGCGAATTCGTTTTATTCTGCTTTTAATTATCTTTGACCTTAAGCGGGCGATAGTAAAATCATAGCTATACACGTGGTGTAATTACCTACTTTTATAGTCGGGAATCATTGCTAACAAAATAGGTCTTCGATTGTTTCAAATTTTTGCCCCATTTCTAAACAGAAAACTGCGCCTTTACTCGAATCACATCAGAGGTGAGGAAGACATAAAGGCAAAGAACAAGACGTCTTTGTTTCACCATAGTGAAATCTTCCATATGGCATGTTCCGGAAGAACTCATAAAGGCAGGAGAGAAAAAATATGTTCCTACATAGTTTCTCTTTTATCAGATTGCAACTCGCGCAGTTTTTGGACAAAAATGACCTGTGAACCATGATAATCAAATACGAATTGCTTGCAGAAATCTCAAAGTGTCCATCACAGCATATTGTTTATTTATTGCATTTGCTATTTGATTTCAACATAATCATCCGCTATCGAATTAGTTCATGGAATTTTCTCCAACTACAAACAGCAAATTCCCGTAACTTATTCGTTCATCTGTTGTTTCAGCGCATAGGTCTACAGCATCCTGAATATTTGAAACAATACATCAACAAAATTCACCGCCAAAGCACCGATAATTAATTTTCTATAGTTGTAAAATTCGAATTAATCAGCTCCAGGTACTAATTGACTGTTTATGATACTACTAAGACGTTGAATAATGGATCTTAACCAACCAGGTAGTGAGCCCCAGGTATTATAAGGATTTTCTCTGTATATCAACGATTCATTTTAATTTTGATGTACTTTCGGTGTGAATATTGAATTTTCGTTTTTCGGCCTTTAGAAGATTAGCCGCTCTTAAAAAGACCAAGGAGTATTGTAATGAAACTCGATTGAGAGGGCAGTAAAGCCTCAAACATTCAACAATAATAAAATCACGTTAAAAAGAATATAATAAGGCAAGTTGTTTTGGCAAGACGATTTTTCCTGTGTACAATAAACAGCGGTAGTTAGCAGGAGGAATAAAATATCAAGTTTTCTAGTTTGAGTAGGCGCGAAAAATCGATGAAAATTCCCAGTTTTTAAGACCATTTGAGCGACACTAGAGTGAAAGCGCTTTCATTTATTCAGGCTCGAAAGCTCTCATACCACCGGCTTCCACGCAGCAAATATTCCTTCGAATTTCCAAAAAAACTGCCCGATTGTCAATTTTTTGAAACAATCGGTTTAGCTGAGAACAATTTGAAAACTATAAGCAGGCTATATGCCTATAAAAAAAGCTTTGGATATAGTCATTAACACAAGAGTTTTAGACATATAACATTTAAATTGAAGATGTGATGCGTGATTAATACATTAAGGCAAAAGGCACAAAGCAACATTCATCGAAATTAAAATATTTGCCATGCAGGATATGAACAAAAATAGTCAGACAAGTTCGCGTTCGTTCACCTCGCGTCTACAGGCAAATTTTAAATTTGGCAAACATATTATCTAATTATTTAAACCTTGACATCGCCAACAGCCAAATCTCAAACTTACAAGCCTCATGTCGTGATCTAATTTTATCCGAACAATGACTCTCTATGCACAAGGAAAACGGGACACTTTTTAGCCTATTCAATTTTGGAAAAGGAATTTTCGATTCGAAATGTTCAGATTTTTGCGAAGCTTTAGCAACAAGATCTGTTTTCTCACTCACAAACTGTCTACACCCAAATTACTCGTATTTACCTTGTTTAAACCATGTATGCAATCAAACCGATGCTTTGTTCAAATAAGATATTATCAATTAGGTCAACTCGTATTTTCAACTTAGTTAATTGAAGTGGGAAATTCGAAAAATTCAAAATTGTACATACATATGTTCTTTTAACATTTTAGCATACACTAGAAGATAAGTGAATAACTTTACAAAAATAACTTCAGGTCCCTTTAAAAATTTCCTGTTTGGACCAATATTTCGCTGATATTTCCCGCAGAACTAAAATTACACACTCACAATCCCAAATATTCATTGCACATCAAACTGCTAACACAAAATAAGGGTTATTGTACATAGGGAGCTGGCATGAAAGGAATAAACGGCACATAAGGGGCCCTTCCTGCAGTAAACAGGAACCAGTTTTCGTTTTAGCAGGATTTCTATACAAGAGTTTGGAGGTTGCATGGTGAATTGTCAAACTACTTTGCCCATGACAAACAACAGAAAGCTGTGGTAAACTAAATAAGGCGTCAAAGAAAATTAACGAATAGAACAAAATTCAGTGTTTCAAAAGAAGTAATCCGCAAAACTACTACCTACAGAAGAACCGAAGCAAAATCACTTGTTGAGTCAAAATGCCTTTTCTTCGTTCTTCTTGCCGCTTCTGCTAGCGAAACGTTAAGACTAAATTCCTCCAGACAATCTAATGACCCAAGGACCAACAGTTTTTAGTTCACTTTTTGCAGTAAACGCTTATATTTTGCTGATTTCTGGGGCGATTTCAATGTGCAAGCACCTTGTTGGACGCTGAGAAAATCGAATTGATGATAAACTTATTTATGCATGCTGATTTTGAGCAAAAAATCAGCAATTTGTTTCAGTTCTATCTCAGAACCTTTCCTGGCCCTTCAGAAGAACGAAGCACTGTATTGAACAACGGTTGGATATGAATGAAACTTCTTCCATAACCAGAAAACCGAAGTTTTTCCGTTTATGTTTTGTAGGAAACGTTTGTATTTTGCGGGTTTTTGAGAATCGTATTTTTAATAAACTTTTTGTAAATGTTGATTTTGAGCAAAAAATAAGCACTTTTTTCGAGTTCTGTCTAAAAATCTTTCTATGCGCTTCAGACGAATGTCCAATTTCAAACCCTCTGTATTGAACATCGATTGCATATGAATGAAACTTCCCCCAGTGCGCAATTTCTAGCTGTTGGTTCCAAATTGAAATTTATCTATCGAAGTCTATCCTTGTTTAAACACTTTAGTTGAATGAGAGCGATTTCTGCATGAGAAAACCTTAACTTATGCGGCTTAAAAACATCTAAACTACAATAATTGCGTTTTCCTATTGAACCAACATCATTTTCTTTTCCAAAAGCTTTCTACCAATGACTTCAAGTTAGGATGCTTTTTCTGCAGATTGAGCTCCTACCCTTTGAATATGTGGCCAACTTTCTCGACTGAATATTGAATTCGATTTGTTTCATTCAGAGGATGAGTTGGTGAACGATTACAAATTTAATCAGCACAAATTGCAACTCCTGCTGACCTGACAAACGAAGAAGGACAACTTAAATGAAAACACAGGAACATACAAAAAATCATGAATGATTGTTCAGTTTCAAAATCCTGCTGTCCATCACAACTTAACTAAACTCATTCCTGCGGTCTAATTGGCCGCATTATTCGAAACAAATTAGCACAAACAAATGGGTTATTTTTAACCATCAAATGTTCAGCTAAGTTGATTTGGTTAATTTTAAATAAATCCTTGTTCCAGTTTAGCTGTTTCTTCTATCAGCTTGCACTGAACCCAATCGCTGAACTTCTGCCGTTCAATTGGTATTATTGTAACTGCAGTGCATAGAGATGAAAATACTTACTGCGAAAAAACGAAAAAATAATCCAGTGTAGTGAAAAGACAAGATCCTACATCAAAACGAATCCGAAAATAACAATGACACCAGCGCAACAAATCCTGCCGCGGAGGTTTTGAAAATTTAGTTAGTTTATTGGCACTCACGCACTTTTCGACGCATTCTGGAGATCGAAATTCGGGTTCTTATACAAGGCACGTTATTTGCCTGCGTTTGCACGCAGAATGTCTATGGCAACTGGCATTCCTGCTGTACGCACATACCGTGGCACGCATCGCAGTTATCGGCAAAATTCGCAGCAACCGTTCGATTGTCGGCCAGATTTCAAATGTCACGGACGATTATGCATTTCGACTTCGGCCAGGCTGAAGCGAGAAACAGCCCAGCAGTAGATGATGGTAGAATGGTAGAATATACGCGGATGGATCAGTTGCTGCCTGCTCTCGATTCGAATCTCATGGATTATCGCTTTCCTTTTTTGCGTCATTTCCCATCACTAGCAGAGCCAGTTTTATGGCCAAATCGCTTGATTCGTTCCTTTGTTTTAAATTAAAACTCTTCAGTTTA